TATTATTTATAATTGTCGAAGATTATTATTTATGATCCCTACGGCAATTGTGTATAATCATTCATTTATCAAAAACTCTGTAATATATTTACAAACACATACATATCTGAATAATATATGTATATGAATGAATTACATTGCTTGTCAATTCGGTCTTTATCACTTGTCAGCTCTCTGAAGTAATCGGTCCAATGAGCGTTTACAATCTACACACCGATGAAAAAAGAGCTGATGTAACCATTAATATAATGTCGTGCCAAATTAAGCCTGCTGATTCATCGAAAATTCCATACATTACCAATTTCATGCAATATGAAAAAAATAGAACTCCAATGTACACGGTCTCTCTTACAATTAATGAGAAATCAACTACTACTTCGTCGCGTTTTCAATACTACCGGGTTAAAAAAGAGAAAAAAAAAATATGTCTACATAAAATACTTAATTAACGGACCTCGTTCGCTACTCAGTATCAGTAGACATCCTGCTTTATCACGTCGAAATGTGTTACCGGTACAATGTAGACAAGAAGAAGCCGATGTTTCCCGACACCGGGAGACAGAACGAAGGCGAGACAGCTTTAAACTACGCTCGATATCGATGGATAACCCGGGTTCTAATGTGTTCTAAGCGACAGTGACACAGAGTCCGTCGGCCGGTCGGCGCATTATGTATTTTCATTTAGAAGAGACGTCTCTATAACGTCGTCGACTCTGCTTGATTTCGACGAGGATGATGAGCGCGCAACAGCTGAGCACTTAACGCCCTTAGGAGCTTACAGACGATGCGGCAAGGAGAAAGGGGCTCCCTGGGGACTCATCGGGACTTCCGCCGGTGAGCGACGGATGAGAGACGAGGAACTCTTCTCCGTCTGCCCGTAAATCCTGCGCACGATCGGTCCAACCTCGGTGTTTACGATTTTTACGGTCGTTCCCTCCTTTTTTAATAGCCGGTTCTCTAAGATGCCTACAAATATCTTGAAAATTTTTAGACACAAGCCGCTATTATGCGAGTTAATGAAGCGCGTTTATCATTCATTCGCACAGTTAATCGAGCTGGAGATATTTATATATCTGTTGACTGGCGATCGTTTTCCCCCCCTCGCCCTCTCGCCGAACCTCTCTTTTTTTTACTCAATGCCTTTCGTCGATTAGATTGTGTGTTTGTTAGGCGACATTATATTTTTGTATATCCACTAATTCGTAATCCGTCGTAATTCTGTTTGCAGTGAAAGATCTGTATGTTTTATGTATGAGAGGTCGCGAATGATAAGGGATATGTAAACACACTATATACTAATCAACGGGCTCTCGATTTAGCATTTTTTCGAATTTATTAATATACAATTTTCAATTTCTAGATAGCTCTAAAACTAAAAAAAGACATTTTATTCTAACAAAAATTAAATTTCAATATCTGAAAATATATAAAAGCTTTAAGAATTCCAGGAAGTTTCCTATTTCTTATAGCATTTTTCGATGAACATTTTTCATTTATAGTTTTCAAAAAAAGTCGTCAAAAACAATCTTAAAAATTCATCGAGCGTGCCTGATGACCATCGCGATACTTTAGCAAAAATCAAGCAAAATAAAAGAAAATAATAGGAAACAGAAGCTTTGCCAATATTCAAAAAATCAAAATCGAGTAAGAATATTGATTGTGTATCTGTAGAGATATAAATACGAGATCGAATCTTAATTAAGTCCAAGCGTACTCGGCGGATAAATCAAACGTGAAGCTTCGTACGATAAGAAGAAGAAAACATCCGACAATTTATTTTCGCGCGAAAAATAACATACCGTCTCGCGTTGCCATAAACGGTCTACAATAGGTTTAGCCTTTTGCTCTAAAGTCCACGATGCTAGAACTCGGTTGCAGTTTTTACGGAAAAGCGGCAATTTTATTGGCTATACGTTTCTCGGATCATGTAAGGCTTAAGCCCTAAAATATGACATAGTTTCCGGTCAGAAATGTTTCCTGCGCTGCTTAAAGCTCTAATATCTAACAATAAGCGATCTCCGGATCCCAGCTCTTAAAACTTTCGACCGATATAATTCTAAAAGCTAAAAGCTTACTACACATATTGTAGACCCGACCTTATACTCTGTGTAAACGTCGAATGCAGGTTCGATCAAAATGATCTAACTTTATAGCTAAACGTGTATAATCCCGAAAGAGAGCAAAAGAGAGAAAGAGAATACGTGGCGCCGACTAACCGCGATACGCCGATTCTTTTTTCCGCGTGACGGAGAAAAATCGCGCTTATCTCCGCGCGGCGCGCGCGAGAAGAAGAAATATTTATCTCGCGGTGTTTAGTAAACACCGTGTCGGGCCCCTACAAATCGCGTCGGCCGATCGCGGACCGAAGTTTACAAACTTTACGACGATCTCGCGCGCAGTCGAAGGAGTCTTTAAGATAGTCAAAAAATGTTATACAAAAGCAGCGGCACGCGCGCGAGACCATTTACTTCTTTCACGCGCGAGCGCGATAATAATTTCATTCATCTCGTACTTTGCGCACATTGTCTTTTCCTTTCTCTCTCTCTCTCTCTCTTTCTTCTTCGATCTTGACGTTGTCATTTCGCATCTGGAATTGACGAATGTCTTCCGAATAATTCGATTAATGCCGATTAACTCGTATCGTATTTTAATCAATTTTGTTTGGTATAATTATATAATTATATATCAAATGTAGATAATAAAACCAACATAATTTACTTTGCATGGAAGTAAGATATTATTTTCTACTTAATTCTAATCATAATATTCTTTATAATATAAACTCTATATTATAAAGTGTGACAGATAATTACAATCAACTACAATTAATATTAATAGACATCAGCTCTATCAACGAAATAAATTTCATGAATGCGATTTGAGGAATTGCAGTCATAAATTTGCATATAAATTAATATGAAAATATGAATGGTAATTTTTACACGCATCACAAGTTGAAAAGATTGAATTTTTTACTAGCTTTTATTTCACAGTTGTATAATTTTAATAAACACATATATTACACGCGTTTAGAACAGATTGACATCCGCCGTCGCATGCTGTGCGATATATAAAATTAATCTCTTCAATTGCAGCTAAAATCTTTTTATATTTTCTGTACGTCAAACGAGACGAATATATTCTCACATTTTAGAGAAATGAAAAGAACGAAAAAGCTGTGTGAAGAGGGCAAAAGAGATTTATACGACTAGCTCTAACCTAGAAATATAACCTAAGTAAGAAACCTAACTCCCGAGATATATTTCAACGAATTTAATCATGTATGCATAAAAAGCCAAATTTACCAAGATATAAATGTAGTGTAAAAGTAGCGTCTTTATCACATTGAAACATATTCGGAATAAATAATAATGCTTTTTATCATCGAACCGTTGAGATTTATGTACACTGGTCTTCTATTAATGCATACATACATCGATACATCCAACCGAATTTGCCATTATTCGACAATAACGATAATAACGTTAGCGAGAAAAATTTTCCGCTAACGCTTCGAGAAAGAGGCGTATAAAGATTAATATCACTGATAACAAGAGAAAGGGCCATAAACGGCACTGTATCGTTTCGCTACCTGCTTGCCGGTCCTCCGAAATCCTCCGCAGCTCCTCGAATTCCTTGCTCGAGAATCACTTTGTTTATTGCGTTCGCGAGAACGAGCGATTTCGCGAATCCACCCGACGCGAGAGCGAACCGGATTGAATCGAAGCACGCGCGAAAACGAAGCGACCGAGATGAGAGAACGAGACGAGAGGCGAGATGGAGACTGGACAGCGAAAGAACACGGCCGGATTGGCAACCCGCGCGCGCGCCTGTGCGACGCGAATGTAGGCGGAGTCGCCTGCGTTCGCGTCAACTTCAAGCCCTCCTCTCGATTGAAGCGCGCCGCAACATCGGCCGACCAGCTCTGTGCGCGGTAATTTCGTGTCACTTTTACGATACTAAACAAAATTTTAAATCAACGTAAATACCATATATATCCTATGAGAATTTCATCTTTTCGAAATTTTATATCTTTAAGGAAGGAAATCTCTCTTTTATGTGTATTAGCTTTCTTCCTGTTATCAATAATATTATATATTCGTTACGTGTGTGTGTTAGTTTATTTTTTGTAGTTGCATATGTATATAGTTTAAAAAAGAAAAATAGAAAAAAAATTGATGAAAAATTGATAATAATAATAAGCTATTTAAAATAATTTACGAAAATATTTAAGGATTAAACTTATTGTGCTTTTTAGTAGCGTCTTTATGAAAGTTATCTGTCTTTCTATCTGTTTTTTTCTCCAATAAATTTTTCACAAATAAATAGAGAATATTTAAATAAAAGATAACTTTTTTTATAAATATTTATAAATATATATTCTAAATTATAATTTGTAATTTGCATGTAAACCGGGATTTTTTCGTTTATTGTCAAAATCTACAAATTGAAACACCAGAATTTCAAATATCTTTACATGCTGATATATCTATAAATTATTCTATGATTAAAATAAAATAATTTTTGTACATGTATATTGGACGATTATTAATGTTATTAATTTTTATAGCGGCAGATTTATTTGATAAGCGATATATGAATACATATATCTATTTAATGTTTTATTGTCCCGTATACTAATATTAAATATCTTATGGCATTTACACATTATTTTTCTTAAATTCTTTTCTAGAATCTGCGAGATATAAAATTTATAAGAAAGAATATATTTATAGAAATTAAACAGTTTCGACAGACACTTATTCAATGTACGGAAACGAACGTGACAGATTAAATGTCGGTCGCGACAGGCAAAGATTATGTAATTACGCTTATGTCGCATTTTACGAACCGCATTAAGCAACTAATTGTTTTGCTCCATCGCTTAATCATTTGGAATCGATGTCAAGAATTAAGGTCAAGAGAATGAAACCGTTTGTCGAAATCGCTGACCACTGTCAAAGATATTAAGTCAAGCATATATGTATAGTTCAATACATCGTAAAGGTATAATTATTCGATAATATTAGAATTAGCTATTCACAATATTTCATATACAGAAAAATTTTGATTATAGGGCTTTAAATTAAGTAAATTTTGCAAATTATATACTTTCTCTCTCTGTTCTACACCGGACATACATATGTATATATATGTTAATTGTAACTAGTTAAATTAAAACTATGGAAGAATTCTGGCTAATTGCAATTGAAGAAAATGCATCACAAATAAATATAACTAATCAATAATAGAATAATTTTCTATCCAACGTATTCACCAAAATGTCTGAATATCCTATTTGTAATATATAAAATCTTTTATTATTATATAGTTGTTAACTTGACTAAATTCGTCCAACTAATTACTATTTTTTTGTATTTCTTTAATTGAAATATTTAAGTATTTAAATCAAACATACCTCATGTTAGATTTAATATGTCGTATTTGACTTAAATATTTAAATATTTCAATTAAAGAAATACAAAGAAATAATAATTAATTGGACGAATTTAGTCAAGTTAACAGTTTTTTTCTCTCAGTGCGGATACTTTTCCTTATTTAAGTACGGATTCTACGGTACATCTGTCAGGCTCTATAAAGCAGAGAGGACAAGACGAATTGCGAAGAAATGACGCGTGTTAATAAAAAGGAAGCGGCTGTCGATAGCTCGCGAAATGCGTAAACGCTTGGGTGTGAGAGCGTGAGCGGAAGGAGGGGAAGATAAAAACGGAAGCTGCGACGCCATGTTGGGGCGGGCATCCACAAGCCGCTCGACTCGCGTTATTGGTCGAAGCCTCCTTCTGGACCATCGACTCAACGCGCACTCGCACTCGATTCCGACAAAGTTTCGCATTCGATTCGCACAGGAGACGAGCAAATCAGGGAAAGAACCAATGCGATCTGGCCGTTTAATAAGGAACTGTCGATTCCGCGGATGCGAATGTGCTATTTTTCTGCTCGCGTGATCTCGATTTAACCGAGTGACTCGATTTTTAATTCTGGATCAATAGATCAATAGAAATGCAAGATTGATTAAAGAAATCGGCGTTTCTCAGGATTCTAAGATTGAAAATTGATAATATATGATATTTTTGCTCTTCTGATCCAGAGTTTTTAAGAATCTTGCGTTAATATTGCATATATACATAGTTATCTTTACACTCCAATTTAAGAAAATCATTTTATTCTAATATTTTATAGTTGAAGAACACTATATAAAATAAATATTTAAGTGGTATATATAAATAAATGTATTCACACGAGATTTAGATGAATATCGTAATCTAGATATATCTGAAAATTTGTGTGCTTTATATTTATCATTATTATATTAAAATACACACATTGTTTGGAGTACAGAAGTTTAAAATTTGTTAAAATTCAATGCGTGCGAATATTATATTTTTATCTTAAAAAAATTCGCTGTTTCTTTTTTAAAAAACAGGAAAAAGAACAACCATATATGATTTAAATACAAACGTCTCGTCTTAATTACCTGCGGTCTAGATCATACTTTGGAACAGCTTTTGGCCGAAGATTTACAAAAATCGCGGATCACACAAGTTTGGCGACAGGAACGGAAACAAATGAGAACAACGGTGGTCAAAGCGCGGCCGGATATTTTTCAACAGCTGCAATGGCCGGGTGCGCGAATTGTTGACCGAATGCTGGGACTTACGAACGCCTATGTTGCTGATATAGCGGAGTATTGTTAACCCGGCACAATGACCGTGTTTAGCAACATCGACCGGCCGATCATGTTCGATTGTTCCTACCATTTCCCTCCCGCCTCTCGTCTCTGCGGTCGCTATCGTGCGTTATCGTCGACGAGTTGGTCCGCCAAGAAGCAACGATTAACCCCCTTTTTATAAATCCAGTGTACATTTTTACATCCTTTTTATCTCTGTAACATAAGTAATGTACGTAGTAATGCATAAGGTTTCACAGACACCTGGTATTATTATCTCGATTCTTATATACGTTTCTAAAAATATATATGTGATATTCAATATTATATTTTAAAATGATAAGCGAGTCATATTCTCTATTTTGATTTAAGTCACTTCTGTTTATATATATAATAGCGGGCAATAGCGGGTTAATTGTATTTGCATCTCGATCTCTCAACGCGAACGAATTGGTTATCAAAAAGCGATAAATCGCGTAACCAACGAGCCTTTTTATTCTTCGATTTATCCGAGGCACGAACGAAGAAACAGGAGAAGGAGTCGCTGTTTTGATTAGGCAATGTCAAAGCAAACTGCCTCTCTTGACCCGGGCTGGACCTCTCTCCTCCTTTTTCCCCTTTCTCTCGTGCTCGAGTCTCACCCCCGTCGGTTTTACTGCCGTTTTATAGTCTTTGGTTTGTCGCGGCGAAGCGAGACAGGAGCGATTACCACGCGGTCACGTTTCGTGCAAGACGTTATAGTTACGGGAGTATAGTCGTGATTATAGAAGCACCTTCTCGTCTCTCTCGTCTCTCTCGTCTCGCCTTCGGAACGCTCTGTTATATAGAATCAATAATTATTTTTCAATATTACACTTTTTTGTAAAATGCATCTTTCCATACAGATTTTGTAATAAACTAATTAAATAATAATGTAATGAACTAAATAATTTATTTTATATATACCTTTCTTATCTTTTGCAGATATCTGTAGATTACGTTAATCTTGAAATTTTGGCGCAATTTTTTGTAATTTTAATCGTCAGCAGATATCATGGAGAGAATCCTTTAAACCGTGACTTGCATGAAGAAATATCTTTCTGTAATTACACACACAAAAATTAAAGTTAGTTTTTGAAAATTAAAACATTTCTTTTACAAGATCTGATTCCAATCAATAAATTTTTTAAATTAGATTATATACAATATATATAGTGACACTATCATCTTCTTCGAAATTCTTTATCTCTATCTAACGATATCGGCAATAAAATATTTTAAAACAATGATAGAAGATGAATCATTAATTTCGAATTAAATACCTAATTTAATCTAATGTTTGTCCACTATATTTACCTCTTCATTATGACATTTCTCTATTACATTGTCCATATATATATATATATATATATATATATATTTGAAATACACCCTGTATATAATATATCGAATGCGTATCATCAATGGTAAAACGTAGGTAGGTCCATGTCGCGAGAAGAGCCGATCTCATAAATTACTTGGGCTTAGACGGAGGGTCCTACCACACGAAATCCCGTCTCCGACGGCTTCATATTTTAGTGTTGCCACGAGGCGTAAATGTTTACGTAAAGGCGACCCGCCGTCGCATAATATTACGTTTTACCCGCGACTGACGTTGCTTACACGCGCGCGAGCCCTTCGGTGCCCTCACAGCTCGCAGCCCGCCACGTATACTCCGCTCGTAAAAATCTCTCTCCTTTCTCTTCCTCTCTTTCCACTCGCTCCCGAACGATAGATTGGTCAAACAAATAATATGAGACTTCCTTCACGAATAAGTCAATCGGGGCGGGAAGACCGCACTGGAACAGAAGCACGTTCGTCGAATCGATCTAAATAAAACTCATTCACGATCTTCATCTCACGATTTGTTTCTAAATAAATCTATGATTCTAAAACAATCGATATATAAATAATATAGAATAGATGTAATGAACTAAATAATTTATTTTATAAATATCTGTCTCATCTTACGCGTATATCTGTAGATTAACGTCCATCTTGAGATTTTGGCGTGAGTTTGTAATTTTAATCGTCAGCAATATCGTGGAGAGAATCCTTTAAACCGTGACTTGCATGAAGAGAAATACCTTTCTGTAATTATATTATATAAAAATTAAAGTCGTTTCAAAAATCTAATTCCAATCAATTAATTTTTTAAATTAGATTATATATATATACCACATTGTAATAACTAATAACACTATGGAATTACATGATGGAAGTTGACGAGACGATAATTCGAAACTATAAATATATCTGATCTTTAGATTCGCCTCTCATTTTGAGCATTAGGCGTCATCTAACGAGAAATCAAGGCAAATCGATATACATCGATTTGCAGGTCGGTAAACGATATACATCTGCGCGCGCGCGCGCGTTTACCGGCTTGCTCTTATACATATATCTAAATTCTATACCGTAACCTATAAAAAGCTGAGAGAGAAAATACGGGTGATCGCGCGATTCCTATTGAGACTCATTGAACGTAGACAAAATTCGCAAGTTTTAAAATGGACGACGAGAGTGATCAGGAAAGCACGATCGAGGACGACTATTACACCTTCCTAAACATCCCGAGAAACGTGAGCAATTTCCCGTTGTAATTGCTTTATAACTTTACCCGGTTCACAGGAGGTAGAGAACGGTTTCTGGCCCTCCACGTGACACCTTCATCCTTTTTAATGACGTAATAGTTTCTTTGCCGCAGAAAACTATTTTTCCATAATCAAAATATGATATTTCCGTAAATATTAAAAATAGAAAATTAATTAACAACGCGAATCGATATCGTTAATTGCACTTTACTCTTTGATTTTTCCTCCCAAAATATTATTTATTCTCCTGTCAATTTTTCTCTTCTAAAAGCAAATTGTTTAGTTTTCGCATTATATACAAATGAATATTACTTTAAATTTATCCCTCTCAGTCTTCTTTTTCATAAAATTTATCTTTACCAATTGCTTTTTATTATTTCATCATTCAATAATAGGAACTATAATATATCTTCTTTTGTAACAATTTATTTTGACATTTTAGGCTAGTCCTGAAGATATTAGCAATGCGTATCGTAGACAAAGTAAGCTCTACCATCCTGATAAGCATACAGATCCGATACTTAAAAAAGAAGCAGAGATTCTTTTTAATCGTACAAAGAAAGCGTATGAAGGTTTGTATTATAGCTTAATGCTGATATTTATATATATATTTATTTGAGGAAGCTATCATTATTTTAGAATTATTATTTTGTCATTTTCTAATATCTTGAATCTTGAATTATTATTATCATATATGACAGCTAATTATAAAATAAAATTTTTTATTTACTTGCAATATTAAGTTTTCATTCCAAGATATTTTATGTGCATTTATATGTTTTATTTATTGTGCAATTGTGCAGACTTTCAAGTAATATTTGGCTGTTATAGTTTTGAGCGATCCACATCAAAGAGCGATATATGATTCACTGGGAATCCGTGGATTAGAAACAGAAGGATGGGAAATTGTACAACGTACAAAAACTCCTCAAGAGATTCGTGAGGAATACGAGAGACTGGCAAGGGAGAGAGAAGAGAGACGTTTACAGCAGCATACAAATCCCAAAGGCACTGTAACAGTAAACATCAATGCCACTGATATTTTTAGTAAATACGATGAAGATTATAACAATGGGTAAGATTGATTAATGTAAATTATTACAATAAAACATAATAAAAAAGAATTACTTAATAAATAAATTGGATTATTCAGTAAAATTTTTTTTAATTGATTACTCAATAATTAAAATTTATAACACTTGATTATAAAAGTTGTGAACCTTGTTTCAGTAGTGGCTTGTTTTCTTGCATCGAAGTCAGTGGGATGTCATTTGCACAATCTATCGAAACACCTCTCACTCTGAGGGACACTGTGACTATGTCTGGTCAACTAGGAACCCAAAATGGTACGGGTTCTGGCTCCTTTAATGTATCTGCAAAACGATTGATATCTTCAAAGGGTTGGATTGAAGTCGAAATGGGAGCTGGCAATGGTCCAACATTTTCTCTCAAAGGATTTCGCACGTTGACGAAACGATTGTTTTGTGATGGGGCGACAATGTTGCAATTTACGTCACACGGCGTGAAGGCTGGTTATGTTGGAAGTATGCTCACTTACATATGCGCTTTCTGAATATAATTGTAATGACATTATAATGACAATTATTATTTGCTTATTATAATTACTAAATTTTTTGTTTCAAGTGATCTAAATTATTACAGAAATATTTTATTTATATAGCTCTTGCAATGCAGTTGGATAAACATACAGTTGGATATCTTACATACCGAGCTGGCATTCAAGGTGCCATGAGCACCATGATTGTAAGAGACACGTCTCGTTCGTATACATCGTTTTCTATACATTTCGGGCTTATACATTCTTTCGTTAGCCTTAACTACACTTATAAAATGGAAGAGAAGCAACTCAAACTTCGTGGTAGTGTCAAGTTAGTGTTGCCGAATATTATCGAATTTTATGCTTCATCGACGGAAAATTTTCCATATAATCTGTTCCGTATAATTTACAGGGCCGGTACATTTGGCGCGTTTCTCGAATACGGCGCAGAGAAGAAAGTCTCTAAGCACAGCTCGGTCTCAGCGGCTGTACGCGTTGGCGTGCCGACCGGTGTCACGTTAAAAATTAGGCTAAGTCGCGCCTCGCAATCGTACACGTTCCCTATTCATCTATGCGACGAGGTTTTACCAGCTCCCATCTTTTACGCCACTGTGGTACCCATAATCACTTGGACAGTTATTAAAAAGCTCATAATTGATCCCGTCGTAAAGGAGCGCAAAGAACGTGAAAAGGAAAAACAGAGGGAGCTAAATAAGTCTAGAATGATGGAGAAACAAAGGGAGGCCAAAGCTGCCACTGAACTAATGAAAGAAACCGTCAGCAGGATAAGAGCTGAAGAGGAGTCAAAGAAAGGATTAATTATTACCAAAGCCTTATATGGTCGATTTGTTTATCCTCAACAAGATCGAGCTGCCTCAGAGGAGAGCGGACATAGGGATGAAATGATAGATGTAACCATTCCTTTGCAATGCTTGGTCAAGGATTCCAAATTGATTCTTCACAAGGCATCTAAGGTATTCTCTTAAAAACAATTCTTTTTTGTATTCCTTTGCTGTTAAATTCTTGTGTCCTGCAATTACATGTTTTTAATTAGGGGCGGGAGGTTTATAATATAATTCAAATTTATAATACTTTGCTCCAAATTTACTAAATTACTTGATTAAAATTAACATATAATTGAATAAACAAACATATATATTGATATTTATATTGAAATATTAATAATATATTCATAACTCTGTATTGTATAAAATGTTGCAGAGCCAACTACCTGGATTTTACGATCCATGTGTGGGAGAAGATAAGCAGCTCTTGGTACAATATCTGTTCCATACTCAAACGCATGAATGTATTATACGTGATGATGCACCCCTCAGGATACCAATCTCGTGTAAGACTTTAGTTATTTGTTAAAAATAAATTTGTATCTAATTTATTTTAATTTGGTAATATGTATATATCCCATTTATATGTTTCAGCACATAAAGTAAATACCACTTGACAAATGCGTTCAACATCAAAACCAAAACGCAGTCATCGTCCTCGTCAATGATCGGCATTACTTCAGAGTGTAGAGTTTTTATTCATTCTTTAATTTTATATAAAGGGCAAAAAATATTAAAAGTGTTCATTGATCCTTATACTTTGTATATTGATACTATTTTTGTGGTAAAATAGTTTATTATGTGAAAATAGCTATGTAATATTTGGAATATGTTAAATATTTTGCAAGAATTAAGTGTTCTGTAGAAAGATGATTGTATCATATATAGCCGTTTAATTATGCTAAAAAAAATTCACACATACATGTGTAAATATATATATATATATATATATATATATATATATATATATATATATATATATTTACACACATTCAAATTTTTAGTCTATATATTTTATATATATATAAACTAAAAATTTTAATAGTATGTGAATATGTTATAATAAATTCATTTTGCTCATGGAAATTGTATTCCGGATACCATATGGTAAGAGTAAAGCAAAGTTAAATACAAATCTACCTACTGCCTTTAGAAATATATAACTATATAAAATAGAAAATATATTATGATCCTAAGAATCATATTGATCTTTTTGCAGTCATACAAAGATCATTATGAATAAAGATAATAATTAGCTTATAGCTGCATACTTCTGATCTGATACACATCTTGCATATAATTGCAAGAATATTGTTAATTAATTGCACAATCGATTACCCAATAGGATTAAAGTATTATCATAATACAATGTACTCTTGTACAAAATATTGTTTCAACAGGTGTATCACATACAGAACTTCAAAATTATGTATATAATTTATTATAATTATACCAAAAAGTAGAATCTATTCTCTATATTGTCCACTCTATATATCCTTATATTTTTAGGAATATATCAAATGAAAAGATATTAAAAATTGGTTGAGTAGTGTTACAAATTTTTTTATATCAACTTCAGTTCTAATCTGTACTTCTTGCTTAAATATTGCAATAATTATCTAAGTAAGGATATCTAAGCCGGCACAAGGGAGTTATCAAGCACTGATGTTTGTGCGATATAGTATTTAAAGAATTTCATAATAATCTTAATGAAATTTGTTCTCAGCAATGGATGTTTTATTTTATAATTGTTACATACATGCTTTAAATATTGCATTGTATGAACATTAATACCTCATGTATTGGCTTCAATATTATTTAAATTTTTCTAAAAATCTATTAATATTAATTTCACTTATTAGATAATTATAACAATAAATTTATTAGGTACTGGTATTTAACATAACTGTTTGCAAAAGAGTATTTGTAATCTTATTAGAAGGTAACAAGTTTTTAAACAGGTTTAATTCATTGTCTTTTGCCTGCAATTCAGATACTGGAGTCCATGAGCGATCATGTTCTAATCGAAAAGAACCTTTGTAACTCTGTGATGGTGCAGAATTACCCCATTCCTTTTAAGAAGAGTGCAAATTAACAGAAATTTAATATTTGATATTTATTAGATTAATTAGTGGTATATAAAAACATTATTTACCTCTGGACTAAGCATGGAGAAATAAAATTGCCCCGAATCTCGTTGATATAAATGATATATATGACCAGGTTGCTTTATAAAATTACAAGCTACATGATGTAACTTTGCATTTCGCTCCGCTTCCAACAAGATACTCTCGGCTTGCTTTTGTAAAAATCTTATTTGTTCTGCGATCACTTGTAATTTATTACAAGCATTAGCTTTTATACAACTATCTGCCTATATATATAAGAAATTAATATAAAAATTAGAAAATATATTGATAAGACACACATATACAATATGTATATATATAGCAAAACAATTAATTATATATAATTATCTAAAATTATATTTCATTATATTAATTTTTATTATTCACCTATTACCTTTTCAATTTCTGTTACCAATGCTATCAAATCCTGCCGACTTGATTTTGCTACAGCAGCTGGATCGATTAATGATATACCTTGTGGTAAAATATTTCTTTCTACTAAAGCTGCCACTGTAACAAAAAAATAAAATTGTTATTATTAAATAGATATTGTTATATCATTCAAAACTATCATTACAAGTTATACCTTTATTTGAAGGATCATTCAAACCTTTTACTGCATCCATTATATTATTTATTATATAAACAGTTGTGTATGTATAATTAAATAATATATATAAAAATGTTGATTGAATAAATAAAATATATAATTGATTATAAATAATTGGATATAGATATTATTTATGTTACAATAATCCGTCTAAACTGAGGAAACACTTGTCATTAAATACAGATTGAATTTAAACAAATGTATATATAAATCTTGCATCAATATACTTGACAAATTTATCAAATAATAAAAATGCGGAGTTTCTTCACCAATTACAATAAAATTTTTTATTAATATTTTAATGTTTATTATTGTATAATTTTAGTACTTTTCACGGACAGTATTACCAAAACACAAAAAAATGTTCTGTACCAACTGAATAATAAAAATGTACTAGCTACACTAGTGGCCTCTAGCGAGATCAAAACTCGGAAGAAACGTGCACGTGTCCAAGTCCACATATCAGTTGTATTTCTACGTTGATTTCTTTTTTTCATGGTTGTCGAGTAGGCAAGGTGCGTACTTTTGAACATTAATTTTTAATAAAAAATCTGAAATATTTAATAAAATATGAAATCTTACATCGTATAATATTTGAAGCCTCGTAAAATGTATAGCTTTCAATATCTTTCTCAGATGATAGGTCCACGATATTGATTACGCTGGATTCTGTCAGATTTCACGATACATTACATTACATATAATGTTGCATTTAACATTTATTTACGCATTAAACAACCGATTCCAACACATACGGAATCCGCATTTATGTTATTATTGTTACAAAACATTTCGACGAATATATCGCACGGATTTGTAAATGGCTTTTAAAAGCAATATTCTAACCTCGAAATTTTTTCAGATGTTCACGGCTAATGCAAAAATAATTAAAAGCGGTGGATCCGAACCTGACCAGTTCGAGACGAGCATCTCTAATGCTCTTCTGGAATTGGAAATGAATAGCGATTTAAAATCGCAATTAAGAGAACTTTATATTACCAAGGCAAAAGAACTAGAAACAAGTAATAAGAAGGTAAGATTTTATCTCTAACATATTTTTTATTATTATTATATTGCTATTTACTATTTCTTGAAAGAATTATATACTAAGGTGATTTTGTTCTTTACAGTCTATAATTATATATGTTCCCATGCCCAAATTAAAAGCGTTTCAAAAGATACAGACGCGATTAGTACGTGAATTAGAGAAGAAATTTTCTGGCAAACATGTGATGTTTGTTGGAGAACGTAAAATTTTACCAAAACCGACAAGGAAAACTCGTACCAAAAATAAACAAAAGCGTCCTAGAAGGTACGAAAAAATACAATATATATTAATTATATTTGTGCTTTTGTATAATTAAATATAATTTATTTATTTACTATCTATTATATATACATTATATATTGTATATTATATATACACACACACATACACATATATATTTTGTCTTTATTTCTGTAAATATTCTACAAAAGATATTTAATGTATAATTTCTCCATTTGAATTTTATTAAATTTATTAATTTTTTGTAATTTATTTTTATTTAGTCGGACATTAACCTCTGTTTATGATGCCTTATTAGAGGATATTGTGTATCCTGTGGAGATTATTGGCAAACGTATTCGAGTGAAACTTGATGGATCTCAAGTTATTAAAGTCCATTTGGACAAAAATGAGCAAACAAATATTGAGCATAAGGTATGTTTATTTTTTCTATAGACTATTATTTCTGTGAGTTTTTCTTGTCATGTTTATAATTATGTTTCAATTTATCTTGACAGGTTGATACTTTCGCTTCGGTGTATAAACAATTGACTGGGCGAGATGTAACATTCGAATTTCCCGAATCGTATGTATGATTTCTTAAATATAAAAATATTCAAGTATTTTATTTCTTATATATTTTTACATTCATCCTACTGTGATATCCCCACACATATCATTTTTTCCTTTATCTTTTAAAATAGATATTTGCTGTCTATGAAAGATTTGTCGAAAAATCTCGTTTATAAGATTAATAGATAGCAATAAATTTTAAGACTTTCTACATCTTTCACTGTAAACATATTGATTTATAAATTTCAAAGTGAGAAATCATAGATATTATCTTTCTTGCACTATAAATAATTTTTTGAAATAAATTAGTCAAAAAATGAATTTTCTTACATGTTAGCACTTGTACTTTTACTAATATTATTAACTACTTTTATTAAATACTAAGATTATTAATGTCTTTTATAAAGTAATTTTTTTTTCTTTTTTTTTTGTAAGTGAACATATTATTACGATATTAATATGTATATTTCGAGCGAAAATGGAATTTCTGATAATTGTCCAAGATTTATAGCTATTATAGTTATTAATGCATAAACTATAAAGAAAGTCTTAAGCGTGTTTTATTACTTTATACTTTATACTGTGGAACACGAGTAACGATATACGAAAAAAGTATAAATCTTTTTAAATAAAAAATGTGTAATTAAAAGACAAAAGTATGTACAATAATATTTTATAAAACAAAAATCTATAACATAATTTTTTTAGTCATTCTGCTATAAAAGAAATTGATTTTTTTTATATTTTTATTATATTGATTTTAAATTTTCCTAAATCTCAATAACAAAACTCATTATCGTTACTCGAAGGTTCTACGAAAGGAAAATAGCGTGAGAACATAGGGCAGATGTGAGTATAGAAATGTACAAAACCAGGCGACTGTGCAATAACACCAGTAGTTTTGGATCAGGGTCAGGCAGGCCCAGAGGGTCGAAGGGTCGAAGGGCTCAAGAAACAGCGTACGTTTCTCTTTCTTCCTTCGTTTGCTCGTCATATTCACTATACGACGAGCCGTGGAACAAACTATGAATATTCGCGAATTTTTAATTTCTTTGTGCGAAGAAAAAAACATCCGTTTTTAATTAAACTGATAAAGATAATAATGGATATTTGCGATTCTATGTGTATGTTAATTATTTAACGTATGTTAAATAATTAAATTTTTAATAACACGAAAACGAAAGAAGTTTGCGATGAAGAAAAATACATAATATGCATTATTTGAATAATAATTTGGATATTAATAAAGAGGAATATTTTTTCTGCAAGTTTATCTTCTTTAGCATTTTTTTAACTACCAAGAAAAAGATGTTGCATTAAATCGATTGATTATATGTATATATTTTGTGTAATAGAAATTCTCTTTTTTTAATTTTTTTTTCTTTGATATGTACATAAAAAATACACAAAATTATATTAAATTAATTAAATGTGCGTTGATATATTTTTTTATTAGCAATGATTTGTTACCATCTATTTTGTATTATCCATTTTCTATTTGATATTCTTTTTTATTTCATCAGAAATTGTTGAAAAATAGATGAAATAAATACATCTGTCTTTAGCATAAATTTATAAATTATTTGGATAGAAAAGCAAGGAAGGGCAAATTATCAAAGCCGTTATATCGTGACGCGTCCTGTCCATTGATGACGTCACGATAAAAATCACACAATGAAAACGAGCGGGTCACATATACATGTATGTACCTGTTTGAAAAATGACACTCTTGCACAGGTAGCTCTTTTCATACGTATCGACGTCCGCGTGAGAATGCAGGGGATGCAGAAATGCCGTAGCACACCCCAGTTTCGGCAGCCACCCCTCGGATCGCACGTTAAGTGTTGCATAAATAACTACTTGGGTCATGTCGATTGGACTGCAGTTCCGGCCATCTGCCTTATCGGAAATAACAACGAGTAATCGCAACTTTATGATAATTCACGGATCACAACAAATACACAAATCGATTTACTGATGAAATAAAGAAGAAAATTAATTTTAAATTAAAAAAAGCTGACATCGCGAAAATATTTTTGTCAGTTATTATTCGAGAAAAATAAGTAATTTTTTCCCCAAACTTATTTTCATAATATTAACAACAATAGAGATATTTAGGATCGTCGCGTTAAGGAAATGATTTTGTATATGTGTATATGTTTTAAATACCGTGAATGTTGAACTATAGAAAACGCTAGAGCAATAATTTTTGTTACTTACGGGATGGGAAGAAATCGAAGAAGAAACACAGTTTCTGAAACAGAAAAAGGGGATAAAAATTATATCTTTTGCATGATTTCAAATTTTTATATCTAATTTTTCCATTATCCATTCGTCTTTTTAGAGAACAGCCCTCTATTATAAATTAGTTATTATACTCTATTGTAAATCGGAATTACATTGTGACAGAACGAATATTTATATAAAATACAGCATTTTTTCTTTCTATTTGTTTATTTTATAAAAAAAGAAAGAGAAATTTCATCCCTCTATTAACTATTTTCTAATATCGGTACAATAAGAATGATTTCGATATTGTATCACGGAATTCCGTCGCGAATAACTCTAATTTATAGCGAAAATAAATTGATCGCCGCGTATACTTGTACTATTATACCGAAACACTGAGAAAAAGATGAGAAACAAGAGTCATTAACCAATTATCTACCCTGGTGATCTCCCCCTGATGACTAGTCGGTACCCGCATAGTTAATGTTACGCATGTCGGCGAGAATTCATTTAAATGCTCTTCCCGAATGATTCACGTCGATCTTGCCTGAATTGTCGAGAAATCAATTCCGATTAGGAGCATATCTCATGTCTGCTGCGGGTGGCGCGTGTCGGTGCTTTTAAAAACCGTTTACACACCACTCTTATCGCGATTCGGATGTATATCAGAAGAAATAAGTTGATTGAAAAAAATAATCAAGGGAAAATAGCAAATCAAAAGATGAAACAATATATAACCGAGTGAAAAAATAAAAAATAAATCGAATTGAAAGAGATAAGTATATATGTGACAAAAAGATGAAATTTTTACATAGCAAAAGATTTAATTACTTAGTGATAATTTTTAACGAGCCATTCTCTGCTTTTTGGATCTGTCGAAGAAATGAAAAGTTTTAGTAACATCTCTATGGGAAAATTGAATATAAAATTGCCATCGAGATATGTCTTTTTTACGTATATTTCGAGTTTTGCGCACCGGTGGAAAATTCGAGAAGGGTGAGAGAAAGGAGAAACGGGGAACGTTTCCTCTGCGAGAAGCAACGGTCAACGGATGAGATTCACATAACTGGATCCGTGGCTATCAAAGGGTTAAAGAAATCGTCGAGAAGATATGTAAAAAAGGAAATCGATTTAGCTGCCATAAACGTTAAACCGGTATAACTCTCATGTCATCATACAAAGGGGATGCGGTATAACGGTTCCTTTGAAATTGCATGTGATGTTAAATAGAAACGTTATTTATGTCTTACTTTAAATCTGCAATATTATTGGTCAATTTATACAACATTCTTATATTAAACATGACTAATTATCTAAAATCTACAAATTTTAGCTTTAGTCGCGAACAACAAGTTTAGTTACCGAAGTAAAGATATGAAAGCATCTGTGTGTATGTGATATGCCGCATTTCAAAATACTAAGGGATTTTAAATTGTTCGAGCAAGATCACGTAGCGATAATATTCTACGTGTATAAATCATCTTTGTTATTTAATTACAAAGAAATGTATTATTCAGTTATGGAATATTATTTCTTTTCTTTCTTTCCCCGATATGATGATTTATATATATATATATAAAGCATGAAGATTCTTATGTCATTCGACCGAGAAAATCTGTTTATAAATTTTCATTCTGCGAGCCGACGAGACTAAAATAATAATCCGACACCTGGAGATATTTTTCACGCGCATCTTGAATCTTTTCCTTCGCAAAAGCCATCTGACAAAAATTCTATGCCATGGCAGCGAATTTTCGAAAATGCTCGACTTATCTTCCTGTCGGGCACCTGGGCATCTTCGCCCCCTTCACAATTTTGAGGGGTGACTAGCATCCCTCGCGTCGGAGCAAAAATCCTGAGGGAGGAAACCGACGCGTCGCGTACGTTACGCAACGTGGAAACAGGTAAGGACTAGAGAATCCCGTTCTAGGATCAAGGATTTCTTCGTCTGACGCGATCTCTTCCTTCTTCAACGAGGGGTGAGTGACGACAAGAAGGGGCTGCGCTTGAAAAGGAACATTGTGCCGAATTGTTTTCCCAGGGCCCTGCTGAAGGGAAGGGCTCCCCCCGTCAATCCCCATGCACGTCGAGGAAGGAAGGGCCTAGTATATAAGGGCCCGTTCGGTCTGCAGCGATCACAGAACATCACCATCAACGGCGAAGAGAGGAAGTCTCTCGGCTTCTTCGACCGATCGGCCGCCGCGGTCAAACGGCCGAGGAGGATCCGCAGAGGATGAAGAGAAGAGGAGAAGAGGAGAAAGTGGACCATATCTAATCGGCGATTGTCAACGTTCTTCTGTCGCAGATCCAATCGGAGCGTCTACATCACTATCACGATGGTGAGTATAGTTTCGGGTTTTTGTCCTGGCTAACGTGATCTTGGTGCTTCGATAGACTACGCTAAAAATCGTCTAAAGTCTAAAGCGTTCGGCCCACGCGGATCTTCGACGTTCTGCCTCGTGAAGCCGGAAATTTGCACCTCTCTGTAAATACAATAATTGGCTGCTATGCGATGCGAAAAATCGGACGAGTCGTATTCTTTGTTGCAAAAAAAAAAAACCAAAATCAAATACGTTTGCATATGAATGTATATATTACATTTATTAATATCGGTTTGCAATCATACGTGAAAAAACTTCGTTTTGACACGAACGATTATTGCAGATAAAATCATATGTTTACACATACCGGCACATTTTTTTGAAGCTAACGAACGTTTCAAAATCTTTAAGATGAAATTCTGAAAGATTGAATTTCTCTCGGCTCACTTTTCGCGGGAATGATAGTTGATTACACAGTACAATTCATTGAAATGCGAACACCGAGAGCGATTTAATTCGCTAGCTGATGCTTCGGAAATTTTTATCGAAAAATTCAAATTGAATTAAATTTATATTAAATTCCGAAAAGCATGCCACATGTTTATTTAACTAATGCGCGATTAATTATTACATATACTAAATTCACGCGCAATATCATGGAAATATATATATATATAT